GCATGCCTTTCCACCTCCCTCTGGGAAGAAGTTGGGTTGATTTTCCTAAAGGTGTGAGTATGAGTGTGTGTGTGTGTGTGTGTGTGTGTGTGTGTGTGCGTTTCGAGGGAGGGATGGCTGGCAACAGTTCTGTGCCCAAGGTTGATGCACCCAGTCACCTGGGCCCTATGTAACCTTGTGGCTGGCCAAAATGAGGCTCATTACCCACTCTATTCCCAGTCTCAGTCAGGAAAAAAAAAAAGAAAGAAGAGTTTAGCAAATCATAAAGTCTTAAATGAATGTGAGCTATTTTTATCATCACTAATTTCTCACTCCATGTTACTCTGATTCATATACTCAAATATTCCACTGGATCTAATCAATGTGGGCTCTCCCACCAACAATAGCAAATCGAGAGCTATCCATCCTTGCCCTCCTGGGTGACCCTGGTCCATGTGCTTCACTAAGAATGCCACAGTGGATCCATCATCACACATGAGGGCTTCCTTTCCTTATCCATTGTTTTCACCACTCTCCTCACTCTCACTTGCCCCTCCCAACTTTGCCTGGAACTTTTGGAACTTCACAGCCAAGCCATCAATAAGTCCCTTCCACTTTTCAGCTGCCATTAGAATGTAAGCTCCCTAAGGGCAGGGATTGTCTTTCTTTCTACTTATATTTGTGTTCCCAGTGCTTAGTGCAGGACCTGGCACACATTTAAATGATGCTGACTCACTGACTGGTTTCTGTTTCATAGCTCCTTGTAATATGTTGCTGTCTGGTCATGCCCCCTCTGTGCCCTTTCAGATGGTCCTCACTTCAATTCCCTGTAGACTATGTAATTTCATGGTGCATAACCAAAGAACCATTCCAGAAGAATGTCAGTGCTAAAATGGATGGCCTTTTTTTCCAGAGAGAAGTTTGGGTCACTAAAAGCTTTGTGCCATTTTCCAAAGGCATCCAGCCACTGCCCTCCTCCTATTCAATTCTACAGACATATCACTGACCATTTGCAGTATTTGTCTAAGATTTGTCTACCTCTCTCTCTCTCTCTCTTTCTCTCTCTCTCTCTGTCTCTCTCTCTCTCTCTCTCTCCCTCTCTCTCTCTTTCTCTCTATCTATCTGAAATAAATAAGTGTTATAGATTATCCTTCTCATTGCATATCTTAGTCTGTGAAGCAGACATTTTCCATCCACCTGTTTTTTCCTGTGTGGATGGTTGTACCTAACTCTTTAGTGCGGTTATGGCTCTTCTTCAGAAAGTTCTCATTTTTTCTAGGGCTTGAAGCAATCAACGTAATTTCATCTACAACCAAGAACTTCTGGAGGACTTCTCCATCTCTAGAAAATCCCTCCTCAGTTTGGACTCTGCAGCTCATCCTCATTTATGTCTTTCCGTAAATCCGTCTTAGAGGACTGACCCAATGTTTAGGCAGTTTTCCTCTGGATATTTTAATATTTTGTAGTATTCATGTTTGTTAATGACTTCTTTGGTGCTCCTAAAGATTTGCAATTCTTACCACAGATATGCTATCCAAGGCTAGAGATCTCAACTTTTCCTGATGGGTTGTTGTAACCAAAAGCCAAAATCAAAATCAACAAAACAAACTAATGTACATTGGCCAATCCAGGGGGAATGAGTTTCCCTGAATTTAGCTCAGCGGGTTGTTGAATAACAAACCTCCAGTCCATCAGTGGGCCCATGGCATGCCACTAACATAGATCCCAGGAATGACACAGATCTGACCATCTCTCTCTCTCTCTCTCTCTCTCTCTCTCTCTCTCTCTCTCTCTCTCTCTCTCTCTCTCTCTCTCTCTCTCTCTCTCTCTCTCTCTCTCTCTCTGTGTCACTTAACACACACACACACACACACACACACACACACACATACACACACACCACACCACATCTTACATACATACATACATACACACACCGTACTCCATAAACTCCAGTAGTTCTCTATTTCCAACTAGATTTTTTAAAAAAAGTTCTTTGACCTGACACTTACTAGCTGTGTGACCCTGGGCAAGTCACCTAACCCCAATTGCCTTGTAGATAGATAGATAGATAGATAGATAGATAGATAGATAGATAGATAGATGAATAAATAAATAAATAAATAAATGAGTGAATGAATGAATGAATGAATAAGTAAATAAATGAATGAATAAATAAACTAGTGAATGCATAGATAAATAAATAAATAAAGTTCTTTGTTTGAAGGGCAGGGGGAGGTATTTAAAGCTCTTCACACCCTGGTCCCTTCCTAGCTTTCCAATTTCCAATTTTTACTGTCCTCCACAGTGTATGAACCAGCCATATCGGTCTACTTTCTGATCCTCACACTCAGTATTCCCATCTCTGTACCTTTGTGGTGGCCAATTCCCATACTTGGAATGCTCTCTCATCTTACCCTGGCCTTTTGGTTCACGGCTTCCTTCAAGGCTTAGATCAAATGCCAAATTCTGTAGGAGGCTTTCCTCAGTGTCTCTTGATGCTAGTGCCTTTCATTTACTTGGTCAGTATCTTATATGCACTCATTTGTAGGTATATTGTCTCCCTTATTAGAATGTAAGCTCCTTGAGGGCAGGTACAATGGTTTTTTTCCTCTTTCTGTGTATCCTCAGTGAATAATAAATGCTCATGGATTAATTAAGCATTTGGGATACATTGCCATGAATAAATCGATACTACCAGCTTCATTGGTATATTATTAATAATAGCAAACATTGATGCCACTCAGACTTTATGAATCACATATGGTTTTCATCTATCATCATCTTCCCATTTATTTGAAATAGTATTTTGCTTGTAGCAATCTAGGGCGGTGGGTCTCCATTATGTCTGACATGGTGCAAAAAGGGCCAATGATCCATAAGGACACACGGGTGAGCTATGTGTCTGAAATAGGTCTGTATGTCATAGGATGTAGAGCCAGAAGGGACATAAGAGGTCAGGATGACCTGGATTCAAATTCTGCCTCAGATGCATGCTGGCTATGTGACCCTGAGTAAGTCTCTGAGAGGTTATTCTCTAGGTCTCTGGCAGTTCTCTTAAGACTATGGGTTACAGAGTAGGTCCTGGTTTGTATTGGTAAAGGAAGTTTTCCTCCCCAGGAAGTCTCTATGCCAATGAAATAATAGATACAGATTAGAAAAAGGAAAAGTACATTATAGCTATCTGTGTACATGCCTTATATCCCTCCTGGTGCAATGAAAAGAATGCTTGATTCAAATCTCAGCTCTGCCTTACTACCCAAGTGACCTTGGGCAAGTCACTTTACTGGGGCTCAGTTTCTTCTTGTGTAAAATGAAGAGGTTGTATGAAATGGTCCCTAAAGTAGCTCTCAACTCTAAATCATTTGGACAAGCCTGAGCATTTTGTATGCTTCTTCTTAATGGTGAGAATGCTGATACAAAGCTTTGGATCTACATGAGAACAGGGTTAATACAAGCTTTGGAGAGATGTGTGAGGAGAAAGACTTTGGAAGCAGCAGACTTGTAGGGGAAGCTGACTCCTAAACATGTCCCCAATTTCCAACTTGCCTTCCCAGAGACTCTAGGGACTTTTCTCTTGGAGGAGATTGGGATCTCTCTTGGTTTGAGCTGGAACCTCCCTGAAAAGAGGTCATTGACTGTGTATTTTATGGTATAATCTAGTATGGATTATTTCTTTGATTTCAGTTTGCTGTTTACTCAGTTAAACAGGGCTACTTGCTATTTCATTTTTTCTGATCGTCTTTTATGTGGCCAGCATTTACAGAAAAAGAGTTCAATTTGTCAGTAAGAGCTAAGGGTCAGTGACCAAGGAAACACTTTTTAATGTATATAAAAAACATGCCCTTAGACTATCAATATTTAGGGGGGCAGATAAATACAATTCTAGTACAGTACCCCTCTCAGAGACTGGAGGAAAGAAAGCTCAGCTTTGTGGCCCTTCACCTGCTCTCTTCAAGAAAGGGATAACATCCTCCCTTGGAGAAAAGTGGGCAAGATTCCAGAGAGATCTATCAATGCTGTCTATGATCTCTGTTAGCCAGCCTGTGATGACTTGTAGACATGCCTAGACGGGCAGCACACACCTTCTACTCTATCACCCAATGATCCTGACCCTCAAAATTCCCACATAAGCTTTTTATACCCTACCACGCAGCTTCTCTGTGATAGCCCATGAAGCCCTCTGAATTTAGTGCCTTCTTTGAGATACATAAGCCTTCTGAAGGGCAGGCTATACCTACTCTAGACATGCCCCTTCTTCTTGCCCAGGATCTTGACCCTGCCCCTTCTCTGGTGCTCTTTATAAAACAATAAAAGCTGGCATTTGTACAGCCCTTTAAGGTTTGCCAAGTTCAGTGTGAGCCTGAGCACATCACTTAATCTCCCAGTGCTCTAGGCAACTCTCTAAGATTTTAAGTTGCAGAGAAGGTCCCAACCTGCACTGGGACGGGAAGCTTCCTCACCTGGGAGTTTCCTGAGCCTAAGAAATCCCAGGTCAAGTCTCTATCCTTATCCTTTAATACATAATTTCTTTTGAGTCTCAGTTAGATATTACAAGAATTATCCTTCTCAGTTTATAGATGAGGAAACTGAGGGTCTGAGAAGTAGACTTGCCCATGATTGCATGGCTATTAAGTATCCCAGGCAGTATCCAAGCCTAGATTCGAGCCTGACTGATAACAAGCTGGCATGCTAACCACTAGGTAATACTGCCTCTCATTTCTGGAATCTTTCATGCTGGAACTTTCTAGGCTCAAGTTGCCCTCCAGGGACCTGAGTAGCCAACTAGACATCCCTTAGGAAAATCCTGGCTTTCACCTGTGCCCCTGATCAGCCTTGACATGTGGAAGACAGAAACCAGGGTGCCCTGTAGTGAACCAGAAGAAGGGATGAAAACTTGGCCTAAGCCAGATGTACCAAGTCCAGAGGGCAGTTTCTCAGAGAATCAGCAACCCCCTCCCTCCTCATAGTTTTCCTCAAAGATCATTAAGGCCAAGGGACTTAGCTGTGTCCCTGTTTCACTTGTACACAGTGTTACCTTTGCCCTGATGTCTTCTTTTTGTGCCACTTCCCACCCATTCTGAGTGTCTTCAATCAAATTTCATGCCTTCCCTTGGTGAAGGCAAGACACACCTTTAAAAAGACCTATTGCATTTAACAACACCATCTGGTTTGGCTACTCCAAGTCAGAAATCAACTACAAAGTACTGGGACCCTCTTTCCAAGCCAGGTAAGCATAAAAAGGAAGCTCCCTACATTGGAAAGCATCCTGATGTTCAGTCATCCTAAGTAGCTTAGTGATGGTTGAGATAGACTTGGGGCCACTTTCCTGTTTCCAAAGTCTCAGGTGCTGATGACTCTCCATTGTTATCAAAACTACTGAATCACAGAAGGCTGATCTAGATTCTGGGAAAGGTTGCTTATTCAGCTTTTCTTTGGCTGGTTGAAAGCTATTTTGCAGTGGGTCAGCCATTAGCAGTACAAATGACCACCTGATGAATTACGAAACATGCATGGTTGGGGATCTGGCAAGGCCCAGCAAAAAAGAAAAAAACAACCTGAAAAAACTGTCCTAATGATGTCCAGGGACTGAATAAGGTTGATGACCTTTTGTATGCTTTGAAAGAGCAAATACCATCTTCTGGTCTAAGGGTAAGGAATGGATGACGATCTGTGACATGGAATCTTGATAAATATACTATTGCAATTCCTCTATGTCCTCAGCAAAAAGATCAATTCATAGATTATTTAAGCTAGAATGGAGTTTGGGGATCATCTAACCAAGACCCTCATTTTACATATGGAGAAACTAAGGCCAAGAGAGGTCAAGTGGCTTGCCCAAATTCAAATAGAAAGTCAGTCAAATACCTGTTCATGCCAAATCATGTCAAATTAATGAGCAGATGAATTTTTTAAATTTATTGAACCTTCGGTATGCGCAAAGCATTATCCCATGATAGTTCCTATTGTGCTTGCTTTGCTCACACATCCTCAACCATTCAGCACCTGGTGTTTAATCAATAACATGAGTCCTAAGGAAAATACATCAATAAAAGGTTCCCTTCAAGTCAGTGCTCTGCTCAGCTCTCTGAAGGAGCCGTGAATGTTTTACTTAGCTGGACCATTAACTGGCCCATGTTGCTTTGGGCAAGTGTGAGGAATTTCTTATGTAATTCATTTTTTAAAGGAAAGGATGATGATGATGATGAGAAATATTAAGCAATAATTCCCAAATGACATAAAAATAGGGAGTTTGTGAGAATATCATAACAAAGAGTTTCGGAACGCAAAGCAAAGTGAAAACTCTGATTTTCAGAGTTGAAAAGGGACTTGGAAGTCAGTGACTTTAGCCCATTCTCCATCCACCATCCCCTCTATTCCATGTCCAGCAAGGCATCATTTATTCTCTCTTTGAAAACCTTCAGTGAGGAGGATATCCCTACATTCCAAGGCAGCCCATTTCTACTTTAAATAGCTCTGATTTTTAGGAAGTTTATTGTTACATAGATAGCAAATTTGCCTTGTTGTCATTTCTGCCCATGGCTCTGAGTTCTATCCTTTGAGGTCAAGCAGAATAAAGCTAATCCTTCTGCATGGTAGCCCTTCAAGATGGCCGTTACCTCTTCCCCAGAGCCAGTCCTAGCCTTCTCCTCTAAGCCAAACATCTCCAGTTTCTTTATTCAGGCCTCTTATGAAATGACCTCATGGCCCATTACCACCCTGCTTCTCTTCCTCTAGGTGGACACTATCTTTCCTATAATATGTCACTTAGAACTAAACACTATCCCCCAGATAGGATGTGAGCAGGGCAGAGTTCGATGAGATGATCGCTCACCACATTCCAGAAGCTTTGTCTTTATTAATGCAGCCCACTCTTTTTTTTGGTTGCCTTTATTGTATTATTGACTCACATTGAGATTGCAATTCATCGATCTGTCAGTCAACAAGTTTTGATTCAGCACTTATTATGTGGCAGGTATTGTGATAATCACTGAGGACCCAAAGAAAGGCAAAAATATGCTCCCTGCCCTCAAGAAGCTCACATTCTAATAGAGAATGTTTGAGAGGGGAGAGAGTAAGTTTTATTTAGCTCTTCAGGAATCCAAAAAATGTTTTGAAAGTAAAAAAATGTTATTTGTTTATTGTTTGTTGAGAAGCTGCCACACTGAACTGGTCATATCCAGTAGGGTTCTTCTGCAATCCTACTCCTTCTTGACCCTTGACACTGGTGATCACCTTCTCCTGTTGTTTGTGACACTACCCTCTCCTCAATTATCTCCTCTCACCAGCTTCTTCTGTCTTCTTGGCTGGATCTTCAGGTCATGCCCACTAACCGTGGGTGCAGCCCATGCTCTGTCCTAGGTCCCCTTCTCTTTTTACTATCTCACTTGGTGAGTTCATCAATTCCCATAGATTCACTTATTCTCTCTACCTAGATGATTCACAGATCTATTCAGCCAGCCAGAGTTTCAATGCTGAGTTCCAGTTCTGAATTTATAACTATCTTTTGGACTAGATATCTCACAGGCATCTCAAGCTCAAAGCATCCAACACTGAATTCTGTCTTTTCCTCCAATTCCTCCCCTCTTCTGAACCACCATCCTTGCAGTCACTCAGGTTTACATCTTCGTTGTTATCCTTAACTCCTCACTCTCCCTCACTCCACGTATTCCATTTATTGAAAAGCCTTATGGTTTCAACCTTCCCAATATCTCTCATATAAATTCCTTTCTTTCCATTCATACAGTTACATTCTTAATTCGGGTCCTTAACACCTCTCATCTGGACTATCAACATAGCTTCTAGCTAGGCTTCCTTCCTTAAGTGCTCCTCCTCCAACCCATCCATCATCCACTTAGTTGCCAAAGGAATCTTTCTAAAGTATAGATCTGACACTGTCACCTCCGTGCTCAATATCTTCCAATGTCTGCCTGTTACCTCCAGGATCCAGTAAGCACATTACTTTGCTTAGCATTTAAAGCCCTTCATAAGCTTGTCCCTTCCTGCTTTTCCAGTCTTTTCTCACATCACTGCCCTCTCCATACTCTATGAGCTGGTGACACTGGCCTCCTTGCAGTGGCTCACACATGACACTCCAGATTCTGACTCTGTCATTACATTGGTTAGCTTCCATGCCTGAAATACTTTGCCCCCTTATTTCTGTCTCTTCATTTCTCTGGTTTCCTTCAAGACTCAACTCAAATCCCACCTTATGCAGGAGGCCTCTCTCTGTCCCCAGCAGCTGCTAATGTTTACTCCTCTGCAACTGCCTTCCATTTTGACTATATATCTTGTATGTGTCTCATTATTTACAAGTTTTATCTCTCTTTAGAACATAAGCTCCTTGAGGGCAGGAACAGTGCTTTTGCCTTCTTTTGTAGCTCCAGTACTCACTACGGTGCCTGGTACATTGTGAGTGCTTTCCTGATCCCCCTAACTGTTAGCATAGTGCCTGGCACCTAGTAGGCACTTAATAAATAGTGGTTGATTAATTGATGAATGAATGAATGCTTGTTGATGGCACAAACTTGAGACAAAATTCTTGAGTTGATTCTCCAAGTAGTATGGTGGAGAGAGCTGGCTGATGCATACATAGCACCTAGAACAGCCACAGAGTATTCTGACACCTATACAATTATCATAGATTACAATCTCTGAAGAATTCAAATTTAGGAGTATTAGGGAGTTACCCATTAGGCAGAGTAGATTTGCATAGAAGAAAAGTGTTACAAGATTCTAGCCAGGAAATGTAAGCTCTGAAATGGAGGTAGCCTGGTTAGTTATCTAGAGTAAGGGATAAGAGCCCAAATACTCTTCAGCACACACAGAAGAGATGCTAAAGGAAGTCGTCCATCAGGATGGATAGATCTTCTGGAGAGGATTTATGGGAGAACATGACCAAGAATCATACCAGGTGCAAAGACACAGATTGGTAGTGATCTATACCAATGGAAAGAGCATCCATGTTGAGATCAAGGGTCCATTGAATAGGCAACAGTTACAGCCTCCAAGAAGATAATTCACCATTTAATTGAAAAGGGGATGGTGGGTATTGATGCAGAAAGCAAGGAAATCTATATGTTTTCCTCACTTTCTGATATTAGAAATTCATCTGGATGATTTGGGTTGAGGGACCAGTGACTAAGAGGGAGTTAAGACAGACACAAGCTGGCTTATGTGACCTAGAGCACAAGAGGAAGACTGGTGCTCACAAACACCATAAAAACATCAGTCATAAAATGCACACATTGTACATGCGCCAAAGGCCAATAGCTCTGAGGCAAGATGGTAGAAGGAATGCAGCCTCTATGCTTTCATGGTATAGAGTGAAGAAAGAAGTGGTTTTGGAGTCAGAGAACCTAAGTTCAAATCCCAATTATGGTAGTTTTAGAATGCAAGTTCTCGGCCTCTCTGGTCCTCAGTTTCCTCATCTGTAAAATGAGGTGGTTGGACTAAGATCATAGATTTAGAGCTGGGAGGCATCTAAAAGACCCTTGAATTCAACCTCATACCTCATAATTTTGTAAGTGGAAAAACTGAGGCATAGAGAAACTAATGATGTGCCTGCCCATCATGGTTATGCACCTAGTAAGTATGTGAAGCAGGATTTGAACCCAAAGTCTTACTGACTTCCGGACATCCATCTGGATGGCTCTGGATGACCTCTGGATGTTCCTTCCAGCACTAAAATCAATGCTCTTATGGCTCTTACTCAGACATGAGCCCAAACAAACAAGTATTTATTAAGTGTCGTGTGTGTGTGTGTGTGTGTGTGTGTGTGTGTGTGTGTGTAGAACTATGTAGACTTAAGGATACGAAAGCAAGCAGAAAAATAATCCCTGACCCCAAAGAGCTTACATTCCAGTAAGGGTGTAAGTAGATAAGTAAACATAAGGTGGAATAGTGGAGCATAGGACCAGAAGTCCAGAAGATCTGAATTCAAATCCTGACTCAGATACTTACAGCAGTGTGACCCTCAGCATATCATTTAGCCTCTTTCTGCTTTAGTTTCTCATCTGTGAAATAGGAACACCACCTTAGAGGGTCGTAAGAATCTAATGAGATACATCTGTGAAGCACTTTCCACACCTCAAAGCCTACATAAATGCTAGCCAGCTATCATTTGAAGAGGGGTGAGGGGATCAAGAGAGGCTCCCTGGAGGAGGTGGTGTTTGAGCTGAGCCTTGAAGGATGAAGGAAGCCACAGGGTGGGAAAGAGGAGGGAGGGCTACTTGACAAGATTCCTTGCATGCCCCAGGACTAATCTCCATTTGCTAGTGCAGAGATCCAGTAGTGGTATGTTCTCATCACAACCCTTTGCAATGAGTTTATAAATAAGTGCTCTGCTCACCCGAGTCCCAGCTTGGCCTGCATGGCATCAGGCCCACTGACCACTGAGTCAGTTACTAGGGCACTGTTGGAAAGGTCTAAACAAAAATAATCTTACTAAAATATTCTAAAAGTAGTCTCTGTGGGCCATGGGACCACACGTGTGATAACAATTTTAACTCAATTCAGTAAACATATATTACAGTCCTACTATGTGCAAGACACTGTGATGGGTACAAGGGATTACAAAGTCCAAAATACTTTTAAGAGTCTATTTTCTTCTACGGTGAAACAACATATATATGGAGAAGAAAATAGAAAGTAGAGAGAGTTACACAACATAATTTCCAGAAGAAAAGTACGAGCATCTTGGTGGAGAGGGGGTCAGGAAAGGGCCCCTATAGGAGGTGACCACAGAGCCACACTAAGAATGAAACTGAGACAGGAGAAGAGGGATCACGGAGGACTAAATGCACCAAAATGTCCCCTGCCCCTCTCCCCATGGGTTTCAACAGGGTTCTGTCTTAACTTTTCTCAGTTTCCACTGATCAAGGGGACACTCTTTCCATTGACCACCAACAGTGGGCTACCGACAAGCAGTCTCGTAGAGCAATATTATTGTCCCCACTTGGCAACATGTGCCACATCACTCCTCCCGAAGTGGAACTTATGCCCCTGGCTGCCTGAGCACATGGGACACGGGAATTTACAAAACAGATTTCCACATCCTTATGTATGCACATGTTGTCTCCTTCATCAAAATGTAAACTTTGTAAGGGCAGGAATTATTTCGCTTTGGTCTTTGTGCCCCCTGCCTTTAACACACAGTAGGAGCTAAAGAAAAGCTTTTGGGTTGCCTGATTGACAGTACTATATCAGTACCCATCTTCAGAAGTGGCTATGGGGACAGCTCGGCTAGTGAATGCCCAGAGGACTCCAGACTCAGCCACATGGCCTGCATGCAGGCCGAGTCGGAAAGTCCACAGAGGTCGGAAATAAATCTAGGAGACCAACAAGCTTCATACAAGGTTTTACTGCACATCCTGTGCTGACACAGAGCTCTCTTAACTCCACCTGCCTCCACCCTAGGATCTTCCAGAAAGATATCAGGTATTGGGCCAAGTTGGATGTGTTACATAACCTCAGACCCCACTGTTCTTGGCCATCTTGCACTCCTCTGGCTCCACAAGATGTGACCGTAGCTTATGAAAACAAGCTTTTTTGGGGTTCTCAGAGAGGGCAGAGAATTCCCCCCACTGAAGTGGTTTACATATGGGTAGCCCAAGAGCTTGGCCATTTCTGTTAGGGCAAGTTTATACCCAAAAATGAGCACAGGTTAGGAAATCTCTGTTATCACCAAGGCCTTTTGAAGCCCAGAGGTCATGTAAAATGTAAGGATTTGAGTTTCAAAAAAGAGGTCCGTGCAATGAGATTCAGAGAGGTGCAGACTCAAGGTGAAGAATAAGACATTTCTTTTCAGAGACATCACTGTGTTGATTTGTTTGCCTTGACTATACTTATGTTACAAGAGGGGGCTTGGCTTCTGTTTAGGTAGAGATGGGAATTGATGAGTAGTGATAGTTGTTTGTTTGTTTTTCTAAATAATATCAATGAAACATTTAAAAATACACAGAAAAGAGCAGAAAGTAGGCCAGAAGAGAACACAGGCAGGTACAGCAGTGTTGTTACTACGAGTTTAATTTTTAAAAACTTATTATGAATTGGACAAACGTGAACAGTTCCTCATTCAAACAACATAAAAGAGAGGACCATCTATTATACTGTGAATCTCTATTAGGTAAAACATTTTTTTAAGTGTGTATCAACTTTAGAAAGGCAGGGTGGTACGGAGGATAACATAGCTGGATTTATTAGTCAGGATGTCCTGGGTTCAAGTTTGTTTCTATTGTTAAGGTTAATTTAATACACTCTTTTAAAAAGTAGGAAATATTCTTGGTTTCATATGCAACCTTCTTTTCTACTCTTCTTTGTCTATTTGAAATGTTCATATTCATTGATGCCTTTTAAGTTTGTAATAAAAAATTATTTTAAAAATCATAAATCTACATAACCAAAAATTGAAGTTCATTGTTAAACTTTTATGTTTCCACTTGAGATCTTAATATAAGTCCCTCTCCCTTATCATCTTAGGGAGTTGTAGTGAACATGGAGAGACGGGATCACCATGATCACCCAGCCAGTGAATGTCAGCGGTAAGATGTGACTGTGACTTGGAGTCAGGGCTTTCTGATTCTATGTCCATCGCACTATCCACTAACCCAGACTGCCTCCCTCCCTTTTTTGTTACACACACTATCTCACCTTCCATTGGCTTCCTCCTCTGAAGCCTCCTTTTGGGATAGAGGTGACCTACCTTGAGCTTTCCAAAACTGTGCCTTCAGAGACAAGTTCTAACAAGTCTTAGCAAGCTGGAAAGGTTGTATCAGCCTGATGACAGATTTTGTGTCTCTCATCTGAGGGCCAGCCTAGCAAAGTTTGAAGAAGTTATTTCTCTCTATCTACCTCCCATGCTCCTTCCCCAACTTCTAGAAGATGTGCTCAAGTCACCCCTCTCCCTGAAAAACCTCCCTTTGTCCCTTAAGGGTTTAGCTTTCCATCCTTTCACTACTAACCTATTAGAATCATCTACATTTGCTATCTTCATTTGAGAAACACATCAACAGAGAGACAAAGAGAGAAGGAAGTTATGGAGAAGGAGAGAAAAGGCGGAAGAGAGGAGGGGAGAGAGGTAGACAGGGAGAGGAAGGGAGAGTGAGAGAAGGGAAAAGAAGATTGGGGAGAGAGATGAGGGAGATAGAGGGGGAAAGGGAAGGAGGAGAGAGTAAATGAAGAGAGAGACAGAAAAAGGCAGAGAAGAGAAGGAGAGAGAGAGAGAGAGAGAGAGAGAGAGAGAGAGAGAGAGAGAGAGAGAGAGAGAGAGAGAATATATTAAGCACTTATTATGTTTCAGGAAGGGATACAAAACAAACAAGCATGACAGTCCCTGCCTTCAAGAACCTTACCTTCTAAGGGAGGAAGACAACAATATACAAAAAGGAACTGAAAGGGAACATATTCTTTCATCCTTTGCAATCTGGCTCTCCTATCCCTTTCTTCTGTCTTTATACTTTCTCCTTGTTGATCTGATCTGCTCCCATAGGTTCACCTCTGCCATTGACAACTATATCTACCCACCCAGTTATCTTTACCTACACTGTCTGTTAGATGTTTTTGCATAGCTATCCCATAAGCAACTCAAATAATTCATCCAAAATTGAATTCATCTTCCCCCCTCCAAGGCCGATAAATTCTTGCCACCATTTGGGATGAAAGTGTATGTCAGCCTAGGCAATTTCCTGGATGAAAGCAGTGAAGGTCTGCTCATCTCCCCTCAGCATCCAGGAGGCCTTTTTCTAAGCCCAAAGTGGGGGGTTGAGTAAAATAGCACAAGAGTCAAAACTTCGGTCAAATTGAATGTTTTCCTTTAATGCCCTCATGAACATGTACACTGCTCATGGCAATGGGCCAATGATATTAACTGAAATGGTCAAAAAGCCAAAAGGAGGGGCATAAGCAATCTCAAAGGTCACTGACTTTCTGCCTAGTTCCTTAGCTTTCTTATGAAAATGTTCATTAATGATTGGGCTAAAGGGGAGGTGACGGTTGTCACATGGAAGATGTTCTGACCGTTTGGCGTGCATGTAGGTTGAATGTCATGGCTCAGGAAGTCTAAAGGGCATGTACTACCGATCTTCAACATCTTAAGAAATGGAGTTACATTTTAACACTGCTTGCAAAAAGTGAAAATAGCCCATGAAGGAAGCAGAGACAATAGAGCTATTATTCTCTCTAAATTAAAAATACCTACTCATGCTTAAGAAGGGAAAATGCTGCTGCCTGCTGGGCTCAGATGCATGGTATGTGCAGCAAGGAAGCTAATAGTCTAAAACACTCCATGGTTTGTATGGGGACCTCATAAAAATTTAGATGCTCAGATGACAAGGATGAGAGTATTCTTGAGGGGTGATATGGAAGAGTGGGAAGAAACCAGATTTTGTGTCAGAAGACCTGGGCTCTGGTTTTGTATGCCAACTAGCTATGTGGAAAACTCTCTCTCTGTCTTTCTCTCTCTCTCTCTCTCTCTCTCTCTCTCTCTCTCTCTCTCTCTCTCTCTCTCTCTCTCTCTCTCTCTCTCTCTCTCTCTCTCTCTCTCTCTCTCTCTCTCTCTCTCCTCCCTCTCTTTTCCTCAGAATTCTCATCTGTAAAATCTATTAATACCTTTCCTACCCCACCATCACTATAATCATTATCTTCATATAGAAAGGGCATAGGTATGAGACCTAGAATTTCATTGGTCTTGGGAATTCCTGCATGAGGGAACTCCCTCTCCCTATGCAAGTCAGCAACTTCTCTGCACCTTATAGCCCTGAAGAGTTTCCAAGAGCACTGAGAAGTCACATGACTTTCTCAGGATTACCGAGCCAGTATGGGTCAGAGGTGGAATTTAATCCAGTTTCTCCCGACCAGAGCCCAGCTCTTTTTTCATGATACCACACTGTCTCTCCTCATTTTCATCTTCTCCATTATCACCAATGATATATGCTTTCAAGTTTTACAAAGTTAAATGTATAAATCATCTCGTTTGAACATTACCTCCCAGGGGGTTGCCGTGATAATCAAATGAGATAGAATCAGTCAAGCATTTATTTAGAACTTACTGTATGCTGGGTACTGCACTATGGGCTAGATGGAACAGTGTCTTGTGTCCTGAAAATTGCTCTACAAGTATGTTATTTTATTTCTACTACTTACTATTTAACTATTCAACAATTATTCTACTATTTATTATTCAACTACTTCTTGAAAATAGCTAATTCAGATACTGAATTATGGATTTTCAGACAATGGTAATAATAATAGCTCCCACTTACATAGCACTCTAATATTTGGAAAATTCTTTACAGGCATTATTCCCTGTGCTCCTCACAACTAGTGATATGGAACAGTAGCCTTGGAAAAACTAGGGCTGGAGGTAGAGGTCTGAGAGTCTTTTGCATAGGGAAGATAATTAAACCCACCGGAGATGATGAGATCACCAAGAAAGAAAGGATAAAGAGAGAAGACAAGAGGGTAGGCCCTGTTCAAAGCCATGGCATGCAACCAGAGTTATAATTTGAGTGATGATCCAGCAAAGGAGATGGAGAATACTTGGTCAGACAGGTAGGAGGAGAATCAGGAGGAAGGAAGGTCACAAAACCCACAAAGGAAATCACTTTCAAGATAGAGGGTGCTCAACAAATCAAATGCTGCACAGAGGTCAAGAATGAATGAACAAATGAATGATAAAAGGCCATTGTATTTGGCAGCTTAGAGACCATCCACAGCACTGGAGAAAGGAGTTTTAGGTGAGGGATAAGATCAGAAGCTGATGAGAAGTAAATAGGAAGAGAAAGTGGAGACAGTGAATATGGACAGCTTTTCCTGGGAGTTTGACTACAAAGGGAAGGAGAGATCAAGAACAATAGCTTGGGGGGATTGTAAGGTTAAGTGACAGTTTTTAAGGGATAGGGAAGGCTGAAAGTGTTTGCCAATAGATTGGGAGAAATTAAAGATTTGGAGAAGAGTTCCAGGAGGCAATCTTCAGTAGATGAGAAGGACTGGGGTCAACGTAACAACATTAGTGAGTAGAAGGGCCACCTCTTCACCAGAGAGTGGAGTAAAAGAGGGAAAAGATATGGGCTCATGCCCAATGGTTCTGAAATAGAATGAGAGAGAAGTGTCAGTGCAAGGAGATTTGCCTTGATTTTCTCAGTAAATTATGATGTGGGGTTCCCTACTGATAGGATGAGGTGAGAGGGAGTTATGGGAGCGAAGATTTGAACTGCCTTTGTGGGGAATGGGATAGGGAGTGATAGAAGGATTGCCTTTGCTCCAGTGGGGGTCCAGTTGAGATTAGGTAATGTAAGTTTGTAGTGGACATCATCAACATGATGTCTTGTAGCACCACTGGGAAACATGAGAGTCAGAGTGGAGGAGGTGGGTGATGGGAGTAATTCAGGATTGGGATTGGCTAAGGCAGAAGCAGCAATAGGATGAGGGAGCAAGGGATTTGAGAGAAGAGGACAGTGTAAGGCTGAACCAGTTAACTACTTGTTAACTCTAGGGTCAAGATTGGAAAGTGAGGAAAGAGAAGCAAGCGCAGAAAGGATGATCTGAAAGAGTACCATGTGGAAGAAGAAGTTAGATATCCCAATGTGACCAAATAACAGGTTTAGGAGGAATGAGACATAGGGAGAAGTGGAATGATATGAGGTTACAGCTGGTTAAGGGAATTTCAGAATTTTTGATCACGAAAGTGGTGATGGTGAGATTAAAGAGGTAACAGTCCTTTTGGGTGGCTGATATAGAGTAAAGGTGGAGGTTACTGGAGCTGAGGAGACTGAGGAGCTAAAAGGCCAGGATGTTTGAGGGAACATAAACATAGATGTTGAAGACCTGAAGATTTGGGGTCTTGTTAAGGCATCATATTTGACTTTTTTCAATTTTAAAAATTCTGAACTTAAATAGATTTAATGACCAAAATAAAACAACCATTTCTGCATTCATAATAGAACTGAAAAAGAGGTTCATATATGAACCTACAGATTTCTGTTATATAGAGCTTGCTTTTCTTTTTAAGTGTAAAATAAGTTCAACCTGTAACTTTCAAAGCTGTCTTGCTTGTGCTTCTTTCTGGCCTTTTGCTCTTTTCTCTGAAATTAAAAAAAAATAAAGAAACCTCAATGATCCTTTTTCTTCTTCTTCCTTCTTTCCTTCCTTCCTTCCTTCCTTCCTTCCTTCCTCCCTTCCTTCCTTCCTTCCTTTGTTTCTTTCTTTTTCTTTGTTTCTTTTCTTATTTCTTCCATTCTATCTCTAATTCTACTCCTAGTCCCCATCCTCAACCTTGGGGGTGGGGGGAGGCAAGAAAAAGAAAGCCCTTGTAACAAATATGCATATTTAAGTGACATTAATTCCCAGATTGGCTGTGTCTGAAACTGTACCCCTCATTCTGCATTTTGAATCTATCATCTCTGGCAAGAGGAGAGTAGGCTTCATCACTGGTCCTCTGGAATCACAGGCATCACATTCTACCCATAAGGCAGCATAGCCTGGTCGACAGGGCTGACCAGGAAGACATGGGCTCAGTATTGAACATGTGACCCTGGGCTTAACCCTTAACCTCTTAGAGTATAAACTATCTCTCTAAGATTATGGGGAACATCTTCTGATTCATGCGTAAAATGGATTTAAGTGAGGCAGTGTTGCACGAACTCATGGGCCTCCCTCTCTCCTCCAGAGTCATCACAATCCAGTGGCAAGACAGAGTCAAGATGACTGGTGATGGCTCAAGTTGCAGTGGATTACCTTGGCATCTTCTATGTCTAACTAAGCTCTAAGCATTCCACAGAATAAGTTACAATGAAGGTGCCAATCTACATTGGCAGAAGGAGTTTCCTTACCCAGGAGTTCCTTATACTAATAAAATAATAAAATTCCTACTCTTCTTCAACTCTCCTCTTCAGAAATTAAAGAAAAATTCAAAGTGTTTCTCTGACTAACCTTAAGTTAGTGATGCTCTTAATAATGTCTTGAACTATAAGTTTATACCTTGTTTGATACTTTGATGGATTCATAGGCTTATCATCATGGTTATTCCAGTCAGTGTTAAGGATCGCAACCTGTTTATGTCTTCAGGTTCTGTATGACTTGTCCATGTCCTCCCAGCAAACCTCCATGGAAACAGCCCTCAACAAGCTAGGGTTCTTTCTCTAAACATCTTGATATAGCGAGGACAGCAATGGAGCACGCAGGTCACCAACTGATTATTTCTTGCTTTTGTTACGTGACCAGCCTACATTTATTACACATGTACAAAAGCATGATGTTACCTATAATAAGGGTTTTTTTTTAAATCGGTAAGTGAAAATTCATGACACGTTGATGTGTTTCATATAAAGATTTTGTTTCTGGCATTATTACCTGAAAATGTGCCAAGTTGAACAACGCCATATTGAAAGACAAAAAACCCAAGCTTTTATGTCCACATGTTCTTGACTCAGTATTCATAAGCAAATTCTATTCTGGGGTTCAAACATAAGATATATTACATATCAATAAACTTTTTATACTAATTTTTCATAAAATACATTTAATCATTGAATTTTATAAAAAATTATCATTTCATGGGATTAAAATGAGCAGGATGAAATATCAGGAAATCACCAAATACCTTCAAATTTCTCTCTTCAAAAGAGACATCATCTATCCCAGATTAATGCATTTGGAAACAAAAGGCCTCCATCAGAATCCTAGCTCTGTGGTGGTTCAACTGTGTGAATGCTGCCAAGTCCCTTTCCTTTTCTGGATCTCAGTTGCTTTTTTCTCATTTGTAAAATGGGGACATTGGAAATGATTGCTTCTGAAGTTCTTCTAGTTCAAATTCTGGATTCACCAGCAGGTGCTTGAAAGCACTGTGAAAATTGTAATATTCTCTGTCAAAATCAAGCATTCTATGTCAGCATATAAAGAACATTATATTATTAAAATAAGAACCTTTATCTCACATGATATTCAACAGACATCCCTCATTAAAGACAAGAAGCAAACATCCCAAAGAATAGAGTTTCCTGAGAGGTTAGAGCAACATAAATTATAGACAGCCTGTCGACAGTAAGAACAGTCAGTGTTTTTAGAAATCTTCCCAGAGTTTCATCTTCCAAATTTTGGGTGGGGAAGAAGAAATCAATATTTGAGCTTTCCCAAATCCTAGACAGAGTAAAGTATCACTTTCTTCTCCTTCCTGACAGAAGGAAGAGAAAAGATGATATTGTATTATATAAGTATGTCAACAACTGGGCACAGAAATTAAGCATAATAGTTTCTGCAAGTTCCCTAAAGATGGAGTAATCTATTATTACCAATGCATGACAAAATAAATACCAAAGAAAAAAATTCTCCAAGGAGAGTTGTGACATATATTATTTCTTGAACTAAGATCTCTCTCTCTCTCTCCTCTCTCTCTCTCTCTCTCTCTCTTCTCTCTCCTCTCTCTCTCTCTCCCTCCCTCCTCCTCCCTCCCTCCTCCCTCCCTCTCTCTCTCTCTCCCTCCTCCCTCTCTCTCTCTCTCTCTCTCTCTCTCTCTCTCTCTCTCTCTCTCTCTCTCTCTCTCCCTCTCTCTCTCTCTCTTCCCTCCCTCCCTTTCTCTCTCTCTCTCTCGCTCGCTCTTTCCTCTTTTCCTCTCTCTCTCTCTCTTCCCTCTCTCTCTCTCTCTCTCTCTCTCTCTCTCTCTCTCTTCTCTCTCTCTCTCCTCTTTCCTCTCTCTCTCTCTCTCTCTCTCTCTCTCTCTCTCTCTCTCTCTCTCTCTCTCTCTCTGTCTCTCTCTCTCTCTGTCTCTCTCTCTCTCTCTCTCTGTCTCTCTCTCCCTCCTTCCCTTTCTCTCTCTCTCTCTCTTCCTTTATTAACATAACCTGTTTCCTTTATATGCAAGTTCGATTGCTTTCTGAAAGAAATGCCCAGAGTTAGTTACCGATTTATATTCATGCTACTAGCAATGAACATATTGATACATTATATCTGCAAAATAATTCCCAGCCATGATTATTTGAACCAGCAAATGTTTAGTTGGTGTTCCCCCATTAGATTGTGGGCCCCTTGAGGGCCCGGACGGCCTTCTGTCTCTTTTTGTGTTCCTAACATGTAGCACAGTGCTTGCATAGCACATAGTAGGAACTTAACAAATATGTATTGATGGATTGACTGTGAAATGTCAAAGAATTTGTCATTGCTTAATCTGGTCCATCAGTGTAGCTGGAAATATTAAAACTGAAGACTTTGCATAATAGATGGCAGTGGTTTTTAAAATAATATTTAGGCCCCTTGATCTTTTCTTGAGGCACTCACTCCCTTTCCTTGGCCAGTTAATAAGCTGTCTCTTTCTAATTTTTCCACATTCTCTCGGCTAATACAACAGTAAAGAAGCTAGTAGCATCTGTCAGAGCACACATACCAGAGATGGACATAACGAATTTTTCACTCAGTTTTCCTGGGTGATAAAGTATCTTACCAGGTAGTTTAATCCTCTCACTTGATTATGGAGTATGGAGTTGGAAAGCAGAGGAAAAAAAGGAATGGATTTGCAATGAGAGGACATGGATTCAAATTCTGTCTCTGCTACTGTGTGACCATGGGCAAGTCACCTGATTTCTCTGAGTCTGTTTCCTCATCTGCTAAATCAAAAGAGAGTAGAATAAATGACCTCCAAAATCCCTCCTAGCTATAATAGCATATATTCTATGTTAGGAAACTAGCATTTCAATAGGAATCCAAAATCTTATTCACAATTGCAAACATACTCCTAACATGAATGTCAGAAGGCAGAAAAGCAAATTTGCATTAAGGAAGAGGACGTACTCAAATGACACAGTTTATTGTTAGAAACTCCTCCACCATTCATAGTAATCAGAATTATAATTGTAAAAATATAATGAAATTGCAATAACATTTTACATAGAAAACTCTTCTCTATTTAAAATATGCCACCAGCGCAATAATGTCAAGAAAATTGATGTAATATGTGGCACCTTTCCTGAACAGGACTGAGTATGGTTACCAAGTTAAAGAGGAAGCCACACCCTCCATATCTTATTAGTAACTTGGTGTACACATGTGATAATAAGTTGCATGACTTCACTGAAAAACACACTAAACAGCTTCTTAATGTTGCAACCTTTCTCCATTAAGACAAAAGTGTAAGTTGAACTTAAGTGTAAAAATCTTAAGGTATACAAAGGAAAACAGAGAGTACAGACTTTGAATTTGAATCTAGAGGTCAAATAGAACCAATGGATGAAGGTAGGGCTCATGCATAACTTAGTCATCTCCAGATAAGTGACACCAAGTATAAAGTTGCCAAGGCAAAAGCTGTGGCTATGCTTATCAAAACTTTCTGGAATACGGAAGTCAGCCCTCAAGGGAAGGTACCCACTTAGAACCACTAACACTTTCAAAATATCAATTTCAATGGATGCTTTTAGAACAACCAAATGAATAGGTTTGGAAATTATGGATTGATAGAGATTTTCCAAGAAAATTTTAGAAATTGTGCAAATTATCACTGCAGATTGAAAGGGGGGGGCATTCATTGAATATGTGAAAATACGATCAAAGCAAATTGCAGTATATGGATGAAATGAAATATTACCATGCTGTAAGGAACAACAAATATTATAAATACAAAGAAGCTTAAAAAGACTTGCATGAATTGATGCAAAGCTAATAGAACCAGAAAAAAACACACAATGTAATGGCTACACTGATACAAATGGAATGACCAAAAAGTCTGACCACAAAATTCTAATGAATTTGCAAGTGGTAAAATTACAAAAAACAAACTGGAGGTATGAGCAGATACCTCCTGCCACTCCTTGGCAGAGGTATGTGTCTGTGGTGGCAGGGGAGGCAGGAAGGGTTGAACAGCACATATCTTCTCAGATTTTTTTCAGGTATGGATTGGTCTAATTTTTTTCTCTTCTTCTTTTCCTTTTTCCTTAAAAAAATAGTTCTTGGTTAGCCAGGCGTGATGGTGTACACCTATAGTCCCTGCTTTTATGGGAGGCTGAGGTTGGCAAATAACTTTCGTTCAAGAATTCAGAGTTGCAGTGTGACTAAAGGCCCTGAAGTGTCTATACTAAGGATGGCACCAATATGGTGAAGCATCAGGATTGGGAGTCCACCAGGCTGGCTAAGGAGGGACAAGCTGGTCAAGAGAGGAAACATATACAAGCATGATGGGGGACTTCCATTATTTAGACATCTATTTCATGAAAATCAGAGCACCTAATGCAGTCTTGATGCCCTTATTGATGATTTCATCTTTCAAAAATTTGAATAACCAGTAGAGCAAATTCTATTCTGGATTAGATTCTCACTAACAGAGGAGAGTCCGTTTCTGGGCTGGAAAAGATAGGAACTTTGAAGTAAAGTGACTATTCTTTTATACAGTTGTGATAACGTGGGAGAGGAAATATGGGCATAGTTTGGAAATAGTTGTGCACCCTAGATTTTTGGAAAGCAAAAGGATTCAGAGGTAAAATGGATGGGATCCCATGAACTAAACTATAATAGGAAAGTCAGCCCAGGGAAGGATGGAAGATTCTCTACAATTAAATTCTGAATACAATTCAATGGAAAGTTATATAAAACCAGTCTGAAGAGAGAGATGTGGTTGTATAGGAATTCACCAACCAACTTAAACTTTAAGAAGAAATCTAAGGAATATGGAAGCAAGACTGGGGAACAGAGGGTAAATATAAGAGCATGATACAGACCTTTAAAAAGCATCAGGAATCCTCAAGCTCAGAATGATCTGAGGCTGCCATTTGAAGCTAAGGACAATGAAAAGGGTATTGTTGTTGTTCTATATTGGGGCAGGGGAGAAGGATCAAAGAAGGCATGAAACCTTTGCTTAGGGTAGACAAGATGATAACTGATAAAGAAGAGAAGGCAGAATGGCTTAATTATTATTTTACTTCCATTTTCTCTGCCAGGGAGGAGGACCTTTGCTCTAGAAATGGCAGAGCAAAAATTACTAAGAGAGAGTTGATGCCCAAGATAAGTAAGGAAACAGTAAGAGAACACTTAACAACCCTTGATGAATTCAAGTCACCTGGACCAGATAAAATTTATCTTTAGGATCTGGAAGAACTGGAGATGTGATTGATAAGTCCCTCTCAGCGATAACTGAAGAATCAAGGAAAACAGGATTGGAAAAGGCAACTTTCCTGAGTTCCATAAAAAGGGAAGAGAACAGAATCTGCAAACTAAAGGCTACTGATTCTTAGAGAAGGTTTTAAATGAATCATTAAAAAGATGCTTGGTAAAGATCTAGAAAGGGAAATAGTGGTTACAAATAGCCAGCATGGCTCCAGCAAGAATGAGTCATGTGAAACTAAACTCGTTGTTGTGTTTCAAAAGGTTTGCTAAGCTTTGTAAACTTACAAGCACAGCATACATGTGAGTTATAATAACAGTAACAGTCAGTTTGGCATAGTGAATCAGATAATGGCCTTGGAGTTCAGAAGACAAGTTCAAATCCCACCTTAAGCACTTACTAGCTATCTGACTGTGGGCAAGTCAATTAACCTCTCTATGCCTCCGTTTCCTCATCTGTAAAATGAGAAGATCGAACTTGGTGGCCTCTGAGGTGTTTTCCAGTTCTAAATCTATGCCCTTACGGTCTCTCAAAATGAAATAATACCACAGTACTACAAGAATCTGTAATTTCACGGAGATTTCCCTTAGCCACTCTATAACTTCATAGACCTCTTCCAGAGGGTCTGTGATGGGAAAAAAAAAATCATTTCACTGCAGCTGGTGATAAGCCTCTCTGAACTTAGGCTGGTCTTCAGACAGTAGACATTTGCTCTATCCTTGGGCCCACATTAAAGCCTTTTGGACTTGACAGAGTTGGTGCTGGCAGTACATTGATAAACCAGGCTTACCTCCATGACAGTTACATGGAGTAGTAGGTAGAGTGCTGGGCTTTTAGTCAGAAAGCTCTGAGTTAAAATCTAGCCTCAGACACTTATGAGCTGTGTGACCCTGGACAAATCACTTGACCTCTATCTTCAGTTACCTCATCTGTAAAATGATTGTAATAACACTTCACAGAGTTTTTGTGAGGATGAGATAATAACTGTGAAGCTCTTTGAAAACCTTCAAGTGCATGTAATATAATATATACACTGTTATTATTATCATTATTATTATTCTAAGATAGCAAAGAAATATTTTAGTGAAGATATACCAGTAAAAACAATAACAATTATTTTGTCAATGAAAGGCAAAGGAAAAAGAAGGAAAGGAAGACAGAGAAAAGGAGAAAAACAGAGAAGAGAGGAGAAGGGAGAAAGCTACAGAGATAGGAGGAAGAGGGAATTGTCCACAATTTATTCCAAATAACAATAACTGCAGCTTCCCAGTAATCCTAGCCAACCAGTGCTCACTAGCTCAGGCCTGTCAGCACCTACCTGGTGGACAGCAACACAAACCCTGGGTCTTCTCTGGAGGACTTTTTTATCCTCCAGGGTCTCTCCCTGTCCAAGCCTCCCACCTTAGCACGTGTTAAGGGTTTAGAGGAGTTTTCCCCCCCATTAAACATTGAAAACATTATTATCAAATCGATTTTGAGATGATTCCCTAATTAAGGTGGTACTGTAGTACTTCCTGGCAAACAAAATATTGTTGAAGAAATGGAGCTAAAAACTTCTTCCAGGTAAACAGAACTGTAGAAAATATTTTGGCCACTACTAGTGTATTGATCTCCACAGCCAGCATCTTTTTATTCCTGGTATTTTCACTCTGGTTGCGTGGGCTAGATCTTCTATAGAGGCTTTATAACAGACCATAGACAAGAATTGTACAAGAGGAGAAGCCTCAAGTCAGGGAGGGAAGGAGGAAAGGAAGGAAAGAGGAGGAGAAGCAAGAGGAAGAACTCACAGTCATTTAGTACTTTAGGGTTTATAAAGTGCTTTACAAAAGGTATCCCATTTGATCTTTATCACAACTCTGTTACAGATAAAGAAACTGAGGCTAAGATAGGTTAAATGAGGCAGGGCTCAAACCCAGGTCTTCCTGGTTTCAATGCTGGCTATCCAATATTCCTTGACACCTCTCAAGACTATCTTTTTAGTCTTGGGCTATACTAATATAAGAACACTTTTCAGAGTGAAGGAGGTGGTATTTCTACTATTCTCTGCTTTGGGATTATTGTGTTCAACTGTGGGTACCATATTTTAGTGAAAGACATGGTAATCTGGAAGGTGATAGGGAAGGTGAGGAAAAGGGAGAGTGCACCATTATGAGGGTCAAAGGAAGATGCTGGGTTTATTTAGCAAAAAGGCCTAGAGACTGAGAATGTAGAGGAAGAAGGTGTTGACTGGCTTCAAGTACATAAAGATGTATCATATGGAAGAGGAGGAACACTTCTCTGACTGCAGAGTACAGAACTAGAGATGATACG